TTGTAGAGCGTTTTTTACTACATCTTTTCTTCATAGAGACAAATTTACAACCACTTGTTTCACTATAGAAAAATTTATTATTCAAATCGAGTCAGGACTTCTGGCCCACCCTTTATTGCATGGTAAGAAAGAAACTTAATTTTAGTCTTAATACTGCCAGTTTCAGAAATCTCTGAGACTTCTACTGATATCTAAATTGATTGTTAACCGATGTTTAAATCAGGTTTGGATTAACTGCGATTGATTTCAAGGTCTAGAGACAGGACTGTGACAGAAGTAAATACATTTAGTTCAGCGCTGTATTATAATGTAAAGAATGCCGATAACGAACATTTGAATCGCAAATCGCGATCAAATAGTGGACTTTATCAGGTTGTATTCATTGAGAAAACATATCATAAATGAGTCCTTGTGGAGGATGATCGAAGAGAGCATTGAACAGTTCGGATACGCTGAGTGCACAACATTTGAGACTAACGTATCTTAACTAGCTTGAGCTACGCATCGCTTTTGAGAACGCAGTGTATTCACTCACAGCTCTCTGATGAAACTGTTGGGACATGAGATGTTCTCTGAACAGGGGCGGATCCAGGATTCTACCGATGGGGTGACGATTTCTAAACGATGTCATCCGAGGTGATATGAATATTTTTTCTAACACATTGACCGCTACTTACACCGTAATAAAGAACGAAATAAACAAAGAGCGTTACGTGAATCGCGGTCAATGTGCTAAGGAAGTCTGGTAATGTACTCGCATTAGAATTCCATTTGCGAAGGGGTGGCGGTCGCCGGACCGCCGTAATGCTAAATCCCACTGTCTCTGATTTGTATTTCTCGACAGTGGCATCTTGAGTATTGTGCTTAGAAAGGGGCTTTTTCCATTTTCTTGATTCTCAATCGAAGTAACTGCGCTACCTCAATGGTTTTTCAGTTTTTGAAATCTTTTTCTCAATAATCTGACATTGTATGAATCAGACTGTTACAGTCAAGAAATCTTTTTACTTATTACTTGTTTTAATAGATCAAACGCAGTCCGTGTGAAAAATACGAACATAAAATAGATTAGTTTGCTCGACAAATCTAAAGAGAATCAACTTTCCATCAAAGATTCTTTCGTCTATTGATTGCTTGTTTTTAATACAAACATGTCTCTATTCTATATGACGATTTTGCATGTTGTATGGATGTACATACAACGATATCATTTTTAATTTTAGTATGCATTGTATATATGTATGTGTGTGTATCTATATCATCTTCAAATCTCTTTTTTTATCGACTTTTTAGCCAAAGTAAAGCACGTCTATATCTCATTTGAGAGTCTTTTTGATGGTCATCACAACTATCATTCAGAACGTCATTAAAAATGCTTGATGGATCGACATTGACATGTTTACAGGCTATTTTTTCACTTGTACATATATATATATTCGCATTTCTTTCTGTTCTGTTTTTTCACTGTGTGTTCAACATGCATCAACAAGATTTAGTAATACGGCGTTATTTTAAGTTTTTTACTCTGATATATTAATGCATTCTACTGGATAAATTAATAATAATAATAATAATATAACTCTAGAGCAAAAATCGAGTAAGTAGAGATTTTAAACTTCAATTTCTTACAAAATTTATAGCAAGTCAGTTTTATTACGATGTAAAGAACAAAATACAATCATAGGCAATATTATTCTTTTGTTGTTAACAAGTATAGAAGCACTATAATTTACAAATGTAACAAAGATTTATTTTACATTCTAAATTTTATCATATTGCTATCATTGAAAAAGCATGTAACATTAAGTGTCAATTATCAAGTCGCTATAGTATTTGTGAGGCATCTATACACTACTTTTTTTGTGTATGGAAAAATCTTTATCTAAATAGTTTGCTTTTCTATTGTAAAATATCGTTAACAGATTTTCACTGCGTTCGCTACAGATTTTGCTACGTTTCAGTTTGTAATGACTATCTGAATGATAAAAAGCATATTTTCTCATGAATGTGGGACCACGGATGCTTTCTATTTAAATAAAATCGGTTAAATTAACTACTGATCTTTTCTTTTTTGTTTTGTTCTGTGAGTAACGCTGATCATATGATGTTTTACGACCATTGTATTGTCTATATTGAACAGAAAGAGTTCTGGATAAGAAAACGAAATAATTAAAATCATACTGATTTACATATATATATATATATATAGATATAGATGGTGATAGATGGTGAGTAATAAAAAATGGTATAATTTATCCAGATGCATTCTTTTGTTGAAGAAAAATCTTTCGTCTGTTGATGATTTCACATTGAATAGACTATATGATATGAATATCAAATATGAGACTAAGAAATATAGATATTTCATTCTCTTATTTTTCCCTTTTAGGCGACTGTTTCTCTTGGTGTCTCGACAAAGGTTAGTTTCACTTTTCTCATATAAAATATGCCTATACTCGTATATATATATCTACTGAAGAATAAAGGAGAGAACGACTGTATGTCTATACCTATGCTTAAACTCATACTCGATTTTTTTTTTCATGTCTCTTAAACATCTGATTGTGAACAAGAGAAAGGAAAGAAGGAGACCTAATATACTACCACTCAACAAATTTCCTCTTAGCAGTTATTTTATTATCATATTGATCAGTCTCATTGACGAACAACGTTAAAAAGTGAATTGACTCATTTGGTGAAGGATTTTTATGTCATTAGAAATCATTTCAATCTATTAAAACATTGCACAGTTAGAATAGTGTGTAAATAAGTCGAGATTTTCCTAAATTTCTCTTTACTAATGAATAATTTAAGCTGTACTACTCATTTTCTATTTTTCTTCAATCGCAAGTAGAGGCAACATATTAGATGGACTAGAAATTTCTCAGGATATGAATTTATCGTCTGTTTTTGCTTGTAAAGAAGTTTTTTTTCTTTCTATTAAAAAGAATTCGAAATAGATTACTTTTATTGCTGAAATACTGAACTATTTTGCTCAAAGATAATATGAATGATGTTATACATTTATTTTAGACGAGTTATAGTTTTATTTATGGATATTATTAATTCACATATGAGTTCAACATCCTATCCACCATTTTTACAAGATTTTCGATCTGACCCTTGTCAAGTATGCTCTGAACAATCTTCAGGATGGCATTGTGGTGCTGTTACATGTGAAGCGTGTAAAGTACGTAATATTATTTAAATATATGATGATCTATAATATTATTTACCTTTTCTATTTTTAGAAATTTTTTCTTAGATCAGTAAATGAAGAACATTTAAAATATAAATGTATTCGAGATAAACGATGTCAAGTTACTCGAAGTACTCGAACACAATGTCAGTATTGTAGATATCAAAAATGTATTGAAGTTGGAATGAAAACAAATGGTAGAGTAGATGGTTCTTATAATACTTTAATTAATCGTACTTAGTATTTTCTTTTTCTTTTAGAGGAAAGTCCAAATCCAAAAATTGAAGATATTTTTAAACAAATTCCATGTGCATGTTGTAATGCTCCATCTTCCGGAATACATTTTGGTGCTGTGAGTAATTCCATTTACTCAAATATAACTAAGAATTATTTATCAAAAATAATTTCAATGTTTTTTTAGACAACTTGCGAAGGATGCAAGGGATTTTTTCGGCGTACTATAAAAGAACGTACACCACAACGTTACAAGTGTTTAGAGTCGAATAATTGTGAAATTAATACGTCAACAAGAAATATGTGTCGTGCATGTCGATTTCAAAAATGTGTTAATGCTGGAATGAGTATCGAGGGCAGTCGAATTGGTCGACAAAGTAATTTGTTTAAACAAAAAATGTTAAGTATGCAAAAAACGGGCGCTATACCATCATCATTGCTAAATGCACTCACAAATAATGGTTATGGTATGAAAATGATCGGAAATAATTTGAGACGAAAGAAAACAACTGATGAATTTGTTTCAATAGGTAAGTCATTTAGATTAACTAGGAAACCTATCCAAGTGATACCTTCCGATTATAAATAACCAAAACCTTTTTTGGCATGATTGTAGCACGCAAATTTCTGATTAAAATGAGACATCTCCCACCTCTACACGACCTTTCTTTGCAAAGTTATAGAATTTACAAGAAAAGCCCTAAATGTTCATTCTCAGCTCAAAGCTACAGAAATAAGAAATTAATTTAGGGCTTTTCTTGTAAATTCGATAACTTTGCAAAGAAAGGTCATGTAGAGGTGGGAGATGTCTCATTTTAATCAGAAATTTGCGGGCTACAAGCATGCCTCAATAAAAAACGGTTTGGGTTATTTTTTAGAGTTCCTGAAAAACTGGTTTTCCTCTTCAACTGGTTCGGCTCTTCAAGACACGTCAGCAGATATCCTTTTAGGCTTTTTACTAGCTCGATACCTTCTATTGATCGACGTATGAACGAACGCAATCGGAAGGTATCATTTGGATAGGTTTCCTCGTAAGAAAGACGATTAATAAATGAATGTATAACAAAGATTAGGAATTATTAACTTATAGAATCCTATCCGATCAATATTGAAGAAAAACTTGAACCAAATGTTCGAACTTTGATAACAACGATTGAAGAAGCATATTGTAATAATATTAAAGTATGGAAATTTTTAAACAAATGAATAAAACTATTTGTTAACTTTCATCTTTTTGTTTAAGGAAATTCCTCCATGTATTGAGAAAATGAATATTTGGGACACGTGTATTAGTCAGTTGGGAGAGTATGCTAGAAGAGTGATGAATTTTGCGACAGAAATACCAGGTATACAATGATTAGTACTGAAAATAAATCATTTTCATTGTTAAATTAATTTTATTTTTGTTTCGAATAGGATTTTCAACATTTATTCATGATGATAATTTACTTCTGATTCGATCATCTGTTCATTCTGTTATATTATTGTGTTTATGTACTCAAGCGTTACAACGTCAATCTCAACAACTTATTAATCTAAATCGTTATCAAAGTCACCTTGATAAACAACAACATCTCAATTCAATAAATAATAGTAGTCAAATAGATTGGAATTATTTTAATGTTCAAGAATCGAATTTATGTGAACGATTACAAGCAACTTTTAGCGTATTTTTTGAAGTTAAACGAATTATGTTTCATTCAATTGAAAATGAACTAGAACGTTTGGAATTAGATGATAAAGAATTATCATTAACACTTGCTCTACTTATCACATCAACAGGTATAACAGTATTTCAATATTATGTAATTAATCTACTGAGTATACTTTATTTCTTTTTTAGTCAATTCAAAATTAATTGATCAAAAGAAAATTGAACAACTTCAATTTGATTTGTTTTGTGCATTAGCTGATTATATGGATGGTAAACAATTTCACTAGTTTCTATAATACTAATATATTGCCCATCATATATCGAATAGATTGTTGGCAACATTGTAGGCCCTATTTTAACAAAAATAATATTAATTCTTCTTGTTTATAGCAAAACGTGGTACAAGTAATAAAGATTATTATGCTTTAACAATTCAAATTCCTATTATTCGTCGTATAAACAGTATTATTGCTGCATCAATTTATCATCTCAATAATGTATGTCCTCAACCGTTTCGTATACCACAATTTTTTATACAAAATGATTTATTAAATCAAAATCGAATAACAGATAATCAAGTTGTAAGTTATTTAAAAATAGTTATTGATTATTCTATTTGTTTTCTATTTTTTCTACTTTAGAATTTTTTATTTTAAAAATGTATAATCAACTATTGCACGATTTACGATCTAAATGATAACAATTTCATTTTTTTTTTTGAAATATCTGTGATTAAACAGAAAAATACACCGTCCATATTTGTTTCATTCATATATTGGAAATTTTTCTCTATTACCATTTTTATATCTGCCCTAAGCATAGTTGTTGCTTAGATAGCTATTTTTTTTTTCTATGTTTACATATGATTGGGACGTTTTTCTTGCCATAAAAATATCCATATCTATTTTAGAATTTTGTTTATTTGTCCTGTATATGTATCTTTTGTATTCAAATTGTATATTTCGTCAAATTTTCGATTTTTTTTATTGTTTTTTTGTCCTACTAATATGCATTATTTCGATGCATATGTAATATGAAGGACGTAATGCTATAAGCGTTTAGTGTTAGAGCAAGTTATTATTGCAACAAAGTGTCGGTATATATCTAAATAGATTAACAAACATGGATGACTGTTATTGATGCGTTAGTAATAATGTGTTTTAAGTTTGTCAAATTGAAGCTAATTGTCGAAAATATATCTGGAAAGAATAAGTCATTGGTAAACTACCAGAACCAATCCGAGATAGAAAAAGAAATTTATTTCGTTTTTCAAAGCAGATTTTTGCTTGATTTCGATTTTCTAAGATTTTTTCATATTGTTTTTCTTGGAAGAAAGAAGGTACCTTGCTGTTAACGTTACCGGTATAGTGTGCTGACAGGTCAACCATTTTTTCCTTCATCGATGATTTTCGAAGGTGGTCATCATTACTAGCTATAAAACTGTAGTTCTTAATAGTGGACCAACTTTATACAGAGTTCTTTCGACTAATCCATTAGATACACTAGCTACGTACTAGTTTTGTGGTGACAAACTATCGTTGAACATCCCAAAATTGAAAGTATGCTATCGAAAGGATAACTGGGTAGACATGAGCATAAGTAACTTGCTCAAGGTTAGTATGTGACTTGTCGATTCGAATACCACCTTTGAAGTACATGACGAGCAACATAAATATTAAGCTAAGCAGCTCCCAACTATTTTTCTATTGATTAGCTGCTATTGTTTATTCAATGCAGTATTTTGTTTCCATTGGAAGGAGGTGAAAAGCTAGTAGAGAAGAATTTCTTACAACTGGGAGCAGGCATACCACGCGATTAGCTCCATCGATAATATTTAGAAGAATTAATCGGTTAAATTAAGATATTTTGATAGTAAACGAAATCCACAGCGCCCTACTAGCTATCGAAAGTTATAAGTTAAGTCGGTTTTGGTGTGTCATACGTTGTTTTCGACATCATTGTGTGTAGTATATCAATAAGGTCTTTCTTCTCTATCCCCACGTAAAGGTTTGAGGCATCAAACCCCATCTACCATTTTGTATCACCTATAAAAGAGTAGGTACATAAGTACATGAAACTCTGAAACGTGCTTAGAACTTATAGTGTTCAACTTGTGTATTTTGTACCCGTTCCTCGTGCAAATCTTAACCAGAATCACTGCCTAATTCCTTCCAAAAACACACTTCAAACGTTAACTTCTGTTCTCTCTCTCTACCTCAACTTGGCATGGTAGCAAAAAATTTCTTAAAGATTTGCCTCAGACGCAGGATATCGTAGGCGCCGCTGCTCTGACATTTTCTTTAGATTTAGCACAGCGACTGGTCTATTTATTACTATCAATTGGTTTGATACCTGCTTTTTTATAAAGTATGTGGGTCAAGATAATCTAGTATCACTCGAATTGTTCTAAAAACGGTGTTAGAATAATCTTAGAAGAAAAATGCTGGCTTGAACAATCAGAAATAAACAAAAAATATTTTTCCTTTAAGCAAACCCAAATGGCAGCAGTGTGAGCTTTCTGTTATTCTTTTTAGGCTTTTTCCTAGGAAAAGTTCAAGAAGGAAAAAAATTCAAAGTTATTCTAAGTGTGAAAATATTCGCACTTATATTTACACAAGAGCATAAAACAAACGATGATTCGAGAATTTCCAAGATCTTGGTCCAAGAAGGTTCACTAGGATAGGTCGACCGACCTTTGTGAATTTTTAGAGCAAACGGTGCCGGATTATCCTGGCTATATTTTGTGAGTTAAAATATGTAAGGAGTATAAATTAGGAGTAAGGCTTCACGATTAGGCCTGCACCAGGTTTTAACTAGTGTTGGGGCATCCAGGAGAATTGCTACAAGTCAGTTATCACGATTCTCTCAGAGCTGTAAAACATCTAATTTTGTAGAAAAATGTTTGCTCTACAAAATGCATTTGTTAAAAGAATTCTAGAATCATTTCTAAGAAAACTTAGAGCATTCTAAAATGTACTAAATTACGAAAAAAAACTGTTCGAATAGTTTTTTTCTGTGATTTAATGTATTTTTGAATACTCCGAGACAAGTTTTATCAACAAGAGTAATCCGTGAAGTGGGAACTGCGATGAGATAAATCTAAGTTTGAAACTGTACCGACGTTTACCAAAGACGTACTGAAACTCGACAATGAACGACTGTATATAATAAGTTCGAGTTTTTTTGTTGATGACTTGTTTTATATGACGACGCAAAAAATGACATTCTTGTTAATCTTTGTTGTTAAATCCTAATGTGTGCCCATATTTTATGGACACAGCAAAGAGTTAGACAGTCTGTAGAATTGCTAAATATTTCATAGAATCTCCAACAAGAGTGGACAAAGTATTTTTGCGCCACCACCAGCTCCAGTATGTGATCTGCTATCACATACGAGCAAAAATATTTTTGTTGGCTATACATTTCTAGGACGATAAATCCGGCTTTTTTTCACATATCTCGCTCATAATGTGCGTGACGGAGTAAATGAAGCAGCAATTTTTTAACGAATGGAGAAGTAGCGGAAGATTTTGACCTCTACACTGATCCACAATATAAATAGTCAGTCATGTAAGAGACTCTAGTGAACTACAAAATCGTTAGCGATCCTATAGATTCTCTGAGGATTCTACAGAATCACTAACTCTGTACATTGTTTGTAATAGTTTTTTATATGTCGATGATAAACAAAAGAGACTCATTTTGTTCGAAAGTTTGAGAGATATTTGTAATGAATTGAATTGTGATCGTGTCCATAATGTATCAAATGTTAATTTCTTACTTTCTTTTACTTGGGTGTCATCATCAAAGTTGATGTCCAAGAAGGCACCGAGTTTCATTTTCCGTAATTCATTATAGAACTCTTATAGTTATCTTAATCAAACGTATTAAACTAATTATGTATATTGTTATACGATACGTTTGTAGTGGAACAAATGCTGTAATATCTCATTTTTCTAATACACGGGGGATATGTGGTATTGAAAACAATCAACGCACCCGATTGACAAATGACATTTTTTTCTCTTTAAAATCAGAAGTTAAACTATGTGCACTTTTACTGTTGTGAGTTGTCAAATGAATAGGAAGTAATTTCAGAATCGACATCAGTTTTCATTCAATGACTGAAAAAAAGAAAAAAGAATCTAATTTTGCTTGAAATTAAATATAATTGCTATCATCCGTTAAGATTTTGTGATTTATTTTTACTGTTACCAATGACATCCAATAATTTTTTACAGGATAAAGCAAGCATTTTCATTTAATGTTGAAAAATAGAAGAAAAAAAAAACCGTACTTCTTCATTTAGCTATAAATTCTAGTTTTATCTAAATTTTCTTTAACAGGAAGTTCATCATGTCAAAATGCTGCCGGAACCGATTATCTATAATTATTATCGACCATTTGTCATAGAAATAATATTGCAAAAAAGATGAAATTATATGAACAAATATTGCCGGAAATAACCGAAAACTCTTTGAGACAATAACGATAAATGCTGCTTTTAACGATTTTCGTAATTATTGATGAATGTTATACTCTTTTCAACTAGTTCTACTAAACGAGTCATTGCCACGACTTTAACCATAAACCTGAGAGTAAGAAATTCAACCTTTCTTACCTTAGTATAGAAACAGCACTAGAAAAATTAAAAATCTTTTTCGGCAACTTAGGTCTCCTTAGAACATCCTTTGATCTGGCATGATATGATAATCTTTTTTTTGCTCTAGTTGTTGAAGTATTTTATCAAATTATGCAAGTTCGTCTTTAAAAGATTTTTCATGTGTTTCATAAACGTATCCGGAGGAAATCTTTGAACAAGAGCGTTGCGTCCGACCCTTACAGAGTGTTGATCTGAGTACAACTTTATACAGACATGCAGTGTTTATGTACTTTTCTTTTCTATTTGAAATGTCAATTATTTCTTTTAATTATCTATGTGTAACTCAGTTATATTTTCGACAAATCAGCCAAATTATTTTTGGCGTGAAAGTGACTGTACACCGACGACTTTTGTTATTATCACCTTACTTTAATCTTGAACATGATAAGAGTGAGTGAGAGAGAGAGAGCTGTGAAAAAAAGGAGAAGTGTAAAGAGTATCTAAATGATAAAAAGAAACAACGCGTTTTCTTCTTGATCTCTATCACTATATATGTATGTATTGTACACATCATGATCGTCCCCCGTCCCATTAAAAACAAGAAGAATTAAAGAAGCTTCCTGATTATAAGAACATATAAAACTTTTTTGATCTTTAATGCCAAACCATAGCTACTCCCTTTTACACATATTAGCGTGGAAGTCTAGTATAAAATTGTAATATAACATCTCTACTATTTGCTTTAGAATGATCAACTCTAGACTTTGTAATAAGATCTTTTGTTAAGCAAAAGCTTTTATACATACCTATAATAAGCACTTCAGAGATAAAAATTCATCATAATTTACTCCAAATTACCTATCTCAATGTAAGTGTTTATTGTAGTTAACCTGGGGAGTGTATTACGTATAGTTTTATATGTCGGTGCGAACATGTTTATTTGATCGGTGAATTTTTCTTTCATTTTACGTTAATTTTCTTGATCAATGCCTTAAATACATTAATCGAATTAATGTACCCTATTAAATAGTGTCTTGGATGATGAGTAAAGTG